CCCGGATTGTTGGGGGCAATATGCTGACTCTGTAAACCGCTTAGAAAGGGCTGAAAGCCCTATGAAGCGGTATATAAGTCTAACTGCTATTGCTACTGCTATTGCTATATGGTTCCCAAACCAAAATCCATACTGTTTGTACTGCCAAATTCCAATGATCACTTATTTATTATTGAATGTATGCGCCATGTTCTTTAGTGTCGCTTCTGGGAATTGATACTGTTGACCTGACGACGTAACTGAAGGTGCTAGAAGCACGCAAATAAGATGTGGTTCTGGAACTCAACAAACACCTTGTCTTTTAGGCTAATAAAATGAATGAGCAGGGCCTCGTGGATGCATAAATGTTACCAATGCATCATTTTGTTTGATGGAAATTGGCACAACGTTACCTACCTACCATTTTTTGTCATAAGTGTAGGCAACATAACAACCGGGAAATTTGGATCGACAGTATTGGGACATTTTGGACACAAAATTAATCCTGTCATTTGAAACTTTGCTGACAGAAATCGAAATCAACTAGCACAAACTGGTGATGATCTCTTGTGCCAGCTATTGTGCTGCTAACTTTCCATCTTTCTTCTTGCAGCATCCTGCTTTCTTTGATTTCTTTCTTCAGAACGTATATATATTTAATTCTGTGAAAGTGTCACCATGTGATTTTGTTTCACGAAATCACCATGCAATGGAGTTGGCAGCACGACTAAACGTTTGGCTCTTGAGCCAGCCTCCAGCAATCATCAACCAATCAAATATTGACGCCAACAGATTGGTTCAACTTTTGCGACAGAAACATTCACAGAATTAAATATATATACATTCTGAAGGAAGGAAGAACCCTAACCCCAACCTTAACCCATGTACCTGCATACTGGTAGTCCTTGACCTACAGGTTTGTTTAAAAAATGACTTATGACAGCTTTTCACACTTACAACTAGTGGTGGGTTGCAGACGGTACACCCCAGTACGGGCATACCGGAGCCTGCCCGGAGCACCAGGTACCATTCCGGTACGGTGCTCCGGAGGGCCCACCCGCCCACCCAAGGTCCTTACCTGTCCTTTAAGCCTTTGGCGCTTCCGTGCATGTGCATGGCACATACGGTGCCTGTGCGACGCTCCGCCAAGCAGCTGACGCGTCGCAGTGGCTTGCGGAGGTGTTGCAGGCAGGTATGATGCATGCATGTGCTGTGCACATTTGCATGTGCGCTGTGCGTGTCAATGTGGGTGACGCCGGGCCCATTCCAACCGTACCAGTTGGAACGGGATCTGGAACCCACCACTGCTTACAACCATTGCTGCATCCCCATGGTCATATGATCAAAATTTGGATGCTTTGCAACTGACTCCTTTATGATGATTATAGTGTCCCGGGAGTCATGAAATTATCTTTTGCAATCCTCTGGCAAGCAAAGTCAATGGGAAAGCCATTAAACTTAAACTATTTTATTAACCTAAAAATGCAGTGCACAACTGTGACAAGGAAGGTCATAAAATAGGACAAAGCTCACTTAGCAATTATCTCACTTAACAATAGAAATTTTGGGCTCCATTATGGTTGTAAGTCAAGGACTACCTCTGGGCATGTCAATTTTTTCACCTTTCGATTTCCAAACATTAGGGGTGCTCAAAAGTTGTGACATACCTTGGGGATTGTAAAGATATTTTGGTTACTTTAATGTTATTTAGATGTGCTTTGTAACTACCGGTAACTACATAAATATGAATACAAGGGAATATTAGGACAGGGATGGTAGGCACACTGGTGTGCTTACACACGCCCCTTAAAGACCTCTTAGGAATGGGGTGAGGTCGACAGTAGACAGTCTAAGGTTGTAGTTTTGGGGGTTTGGGGAAGAAACCAGTGTCAAGTAGTACATTCCAGGCAGTGGTGGATTGCCAATATTTTTACTACCAGTTTGGGCGCGCACCTCCCCGTGTGTGCAGAAGCTTCCATGTATGCACAGAAGCATCCGAGTGGGTGGGTGGAGCCTCCTGCCACCGCTATTACTGGTTCTCCTGATCCGGGCTGAACCGGGAGCAACCCACCTCTGATTCCAGGCACTGACAACTCTGTTACTGAAGTCATATTTTCTGCAATCAAGTTTGGAGCAGTTTACCATAAGCAGCAGTGTATCTATTGTGTGGTCATGTGTTGTTGTGGTTAAAGCTGAAGTAGTCATTAACAGGTAGGACATTGTAGCAGATAATTTTATGTACTATGCTTAGGTCTGATTGAAGATGGCGAAGTTCGAAATTGTCTAAGTCCAAAATTTCAAGTCTGGTGGCATAAGGTATTCCGCTGAAAGATTTGTATTTATACTAATTACTTTACAGTAATTATTGAAAGCTAGTGATTTATATTTTTTCTAGCATCCTTCTCTATGGTAACATAAGGCTATTAGCTCTATAATGCGTTGATGGATGGTGCAAGTCCTGAGTGAGAAATCATAATTGAGTCATAAAATAGCTTCTCGGAATGACGAGCCTATTCTTTTTAACATGTATCTGCCCATCATCTACCATAATTTGGTTTAAAAATAGAAGTCCTTTTTGATGTAATTAACCACGTCGCTTCGGTTAAAACCAGTCCAGAAAACAGCTATGGATTACAATCTTCATTCATTCTTCAGAGTTAGGCAATTGGAATCGGTGATCACTCCGAAAATAAATAAAAAAATTAAAATACGGGATTCCCCGCACGAGCCGAAGTCCTCGGAGACCCCGCCCCCTTTCCTGTCTCTTGCACGACTGAAATGCCCGGATGTCCTTCGCTTCCGGTTGTGAAGCTGCTGCCAATAGTAGGCTTGGCTGAGCGGAGGGCCTGCGGCTCTCGCTGCCGAGTGGCGGTGGGTCGTCATCGGGGGTGGAAATGGAGCCGGAGCCGGAGGCGTTGTTGCAGGAAGCGCACGAGAGCATCGAGGCGGCGCGTACCTACAGCCGGGAGCTGCAGCAACGCCTCAAAGGACTGCACCTGGCTCGCCAGCAGGTAACGATGCGGGGCGTGATTCCGCCGGCGCCCGCCTGGAGAGCCCCTGTCTTGCCGCGATGGGTGTGTGGAGAGCGGATGTGCGGGGGAAACGTGAGGAATGTACGGTGTGCGTTGCAATGCATTGCTCTCCTTCTAAGCTGGGAATAGCGGGCTCCCTGTTTTGAGTTTGCCAAGCGCTGCGGCGTTTTACTCGATCCGAGGGGCAGCTTTAGACTCCCTCTGCAAAAAAAGATTGGCAGAATGGCACGGCGGCGCTCCCCCTTTGGCGAAGCACATAAAGCGTCGATTGCCTTGGCCCTTCCGTTCTGCTTCTTAGCGAGCTAGTTAGCAGGGAGAACTCGCCTTGGGAGCCTAAGTATTGCTTCTTTTCGCCGTGTACAGTAGTAGAGTAGAATAGAATAGAATTCCTTACTGGCCAAGTGTGATTGGACAGACAAGGAATTTGTCTTTGGGGCATATGCTCTCAGTGTACATAAAGAAAAATAGAATACATTCATCAAGAATCATAAGATACCACTCTTAGTAACCTATGACTATCACTAATAAGCCATCAAATTATACTAGGAAACAAATGCAATATAAATTGTAAAGATACAAGCAACATGGTTAGAGTCATAAGTGGGAAGAGATACTAGGAAGGAAGAGAAAAATAATAGTAATTCAGTCTTAGTAGGTAATATGACAGAATTGTGGGAATTAGTTGTTCAGCAGAGTGAAAAAACTGTCCTTGTGTCTAGTTGTTTTGGTGTGCAGTGCCCTAGAGCAGTGGTCTCCAACCTTGGCAACTTTAAGACTTGTGGACTTCAACTCCCAGAGTTCCTCAGCCAGCAAAGTCCACAAGTCTTAAAAGTTGCCAAGGTTGGAGACCACTGCCCTAGAGGGTAGAAGTTGAAACAATTGATGTCCAGGATGTGAGGGGTCTTTAGTTATTTTCACAGCCCTCTTCTTGACTCATGCAATTAAAATTCATGTAAGTAGTAGTGGCTGCTTCCAGCCTGACCCAGAAAGAGATATTCCGTACAATTCTAGAAAGTTAGAGTACCTTCTGTTATAATTTGAAGCATGCTTGGGTCCAAAGGAGTGGGCTGGAAAGGCAGAAGCGTTATCTCCTAATAGATGAAGTCTTGCTATGATGCTGGCAAGAAATAATAGCACCAAAAGGAACTCTTAGCTCCAATTTCCGGGGCCTTGTCTCTAAATATACCCTCGTTTTTATTTGTGGGCTGAAACTTGCAAGCCTTTTAGGTAAGTTTGTGAGAAGGAGCATTGCAGAATGAATGATGTGGAAGGATAATATTAAATGAAGTAAAAAGCTCCAGTACTCCAGTATTGTTCTCTCTAGTTAGTTTAGATTTGTTTTTATATTTTGAAATAAATTACTTATACAGGTAGCTCTCAACTTAAAACCATTCATTTAATGACTGTTTAATTAAAATGGCACTGAAAGAAGTGACTTATAAAAGGTTTTCACACTTACTACAGTTACAGCATCTCCATGGTCATGTGATCCAAATTTGGACTCCTGGCAACTGGCTCCTATTTATGCGGGTTATATTGTCCTGGCGTCATGTGATCACTTTTTGCAAACTTCTGACAAGCAAAGTCAATGAAGAAGCCAGATTCACTTAACAACCATGTTACTAACTTAACTGCACTAATTCACTTAAGATTTGTGGCAAGAAAGGTCGTAAAATGAGATAAACCTTAGTTAACAATTGATTTGAATGGAAATTTTGGGCTCAGTTGTGTAGTATTAAGGACTACCTGTATGTTGATTTTTATTGCAATGTGATTTCCAGGTATGATTGATACAGTTTATAAAGAGAAAAATGCAAATTGATTAAAATTTCTGTAGTTTATATTAAGATGATTTCTTCATTAGGATTAACTCGTATTACAAAATACCGTATGGATACTTTCACTTTATGTATAGGTACACAAACATCAGACAACATATTTTAAAAGTTTTTGAAAGTGCTCATATCAATCGAGAGTTTCTCAGTCTCTCCTTTACTCACAAGTTTTCATTTCCTTCACATATTTGTTTTACAATTTGATTTTCATTCCTTTTGTCTGATGAAAGATCTTAAGGTGCTTTTTCATGTGGTATTCAATCTACATTCATTCAGCACGCTATCATTCAGTCTTACCCAGAGGTGGTATTCAGCCAGTTCTCTCCGGTTTCGGGCGAACCGGTAGCAGCGGCTGTGGGAGGCTCTGCCTACCCGCCCTGACATAATGCGTGACATTCTGTGCATGTGCAGAAGGCGGTGAACATGCACAGATCCGGTACGTGCAAGCGAAGCAAGAGCCTGCGCATGCACGCGCACATTTGCAAACCAGTAGGGAAGGTAAGTGAATCCCACCGCTGGTCTTACCCCTCTTTCTTGTTTTAGGGCAGACATGTTAAAGCCATCCCCACTGCTTCCAATTTATTTTTATGTTTATCCTGATAACCAATTCTCCCTGCCATAAAACAGAACTTATAGAAAGCCACTTTGCTTCTTTAACATTTATTCTGTAGAACAGACCACATACATACCACTGCCTTTCTACCAAAATTTCCATGTTTCCATACAGAAACCTGGACTGATTTTTGACTTTGTATGTTTTCATATATTTTTGAATGTATTTTTTTAAACACTGTCTATAACTTGCAGTAGTTCATTCTATTTCCACAGTCAAACATAAACATCTTCAGTCTTCAATATTAATGCTGAGATTCATATATTACAGATCTGAGTCTATGACCCATGAATTTAATATTTGCTGTAATCATTCAAGTTCTCAGTCAATATTATATGGCATAGTCATGTTCAGAGCTACATACATATTCATACTCCTAGCCAAGATAACTTTAATCACAAACATTTTACATGTTATATTAAGACATTCATTAAACAGTCAAGGGATATCCTCTATTCTTGTGTTACTAGAGTGTTTGGTTTTGAACTATGAAAATCTGTATAATACTAAAGTCTGTTTACTCCTTTCTTTGAATAATTATCAAATATCCATGTAAGATACCAGTCTCCATATTTTGGTAATACCAACTAAACAACATTAAAAATTATGTGGAGGCCCGAGGGAAACATCTTGCCCAGACACCCATTTTTACACTTCTTATAGTTTTTATGAAGACCAGGTAGATGGGTTCTTATGAAGACCAGGTAGATGGGTTCTTATGAAGACCAGGTAGATGGGTTCTTATGAAGACCAGGTAGATAGGTTACTTACAATTCTTATGAAGACCAGGTAGATGGGTTACTTACAGTTCTTATGAAGACCAGGTAGATGGGTTCCTATGAAGACCAGGTAGATGGGTTCTTATGAAGACCAGGTAGATGGGTTCTTATGAAGACCAGGTAGATAGGTTACTTACAATTCTTATGAAGACCAGGTAGATGGGTTCTTATGAAGACCAGGTAGATGGGTTACTTACAGTTCTTATGAAGACCAGGTAGATGGGTTCCTACGAAAACCAGTAGATGGGTTCTTATGAAGACCAGGTAGATGGGTTCTTATGAAGACCAGGTAGATGGGTTACTTACAGTTCTTATGAAGACCAGGTAGATGGGTTCCTATGAAGACCAGGTAGATAGGTTACTTACAGTTCTTATGAAGACCAGGTAGATGGGTT